TCAAAATTTATAACGATACCAAAGACCATTATAATGCACAAGTATTATTGGAAGGTATTAGGTATAGCACGCATTCACATACGTCACATATTCTCCATTGACATAGTATTTCACGTAAACCCAGTGAGGCGTGCTACAGGAATATAAAAACATGACCACAATAAATCTTACCAAGCTTCGGAGGGCACCTCATACATTACTGTTAAATCATTACCTCATATATTAGTGTGTATCAATTTTTGTCGATTACGTCAAAAAGCTCCGGACGCCTACATGAGGCGGGATGAAGTTGCACAATGGCGTAAACTTGTACCTAACAAAAGAAGACCGCGCGAACTAACTTGGATTTGTAGCCTTGTTTTTCGCACCCGCCGGCGCCGGCGCCCGCAGCGACCGGCGCGGTCCTTTGCAACGAGCACAATACATTGCTCGTTTCCTTTGTGTCAATTTTGTTGTGTTCGCCACGCACCACCGGCAGACACGCTCCATTTGCAACGTCACTTGTCATCGGTCGAAAGAGCTGTATGTGGTGGATTTTTATCGCGCGCTTTATGTGGTTTCGCCCTTAATTAACTATTCCGATTTCCAAGTTTATTGGATATTGGTACACCCTTCTGAAGTCTATGAGGTTTTGTGAATAATACTTGATATATTACAATTGAATAATTGTTCTTTGATTTGAAGATGTGAACATTTTTTATGGTCCTTTAGAATTTTTTCGATTCGACTTTTCGTCTAAACGATGATAATGTTCTTTTGATAGGCACTGGAATTACTATCCTGATCTAATGGGGTTGTTCTAAAATGAGCGATTTCAATTTATTAACTTTTCTACAAATATCTGGATCCACCTGGTACAGTGTCTTTAACTCGGTTATTATTCTCGAACGATTCGCTCACTCATTGTGAGGTTCGAGGTCCGAAGAACGTGTAAGGATCGAGAGGCGGGCCGCTATCCCGTTGACGACTTCAAGCCAAACTGGTCTACGCAGCTTCCTGGTATGCTGCTTATGGAAACTGCTTATGAGGTTAAAGCTCGACGTTCCGACATAACATTCTAGCAAATGCACCTTTTGATTGATCATCAATCAGCAACAAAGAATTTTGCAACAGAGTGGAGAGAAAAGACAATGAAGCTATTTATAGTGACGCTATGAATGATATATGTAATAGAAAAAAATCTTTGATTTTTAGACTATGGCTATGGGAGGAACAAGGATCGTGATATAATAGAAGACATGCTCTAAGCTTGTCCTTCTGGATTTAGTGTCTATATAGACGAGTAGATGTGTTTTTGTAAATGAGAATTTGAAACAACTTCGTTACGGAATTTATTGCCTTGAATCAATCACCGAGAAACAAGTTCCAGTTGAGAGGATTCATCAAAAATAGCTCGCTTTTCCAAGGGTCAGGAAGCCATTCGTAAAATCCTATTCAGTTCCGTTAACTATTTGTTTCACTTATTGTCAAATTCACTTAGGTGGGATAGGGGCAAGAGAAAGAACAAAGAAGATATAGAAATACACTTCTAGATATGACAAGTATTATCTATTGTACATTTTACCATCAGTTTAAAATGTTAAGTAGTTACAAGATCCAGAAGTATATATTCTTTTTAATATCAGACAAAAAATAACAATTAAGACCGTCTTAAGAAATATATAACTGCCATTAAACACTAAAGTTTAAGCAAGTCTCCCGTCCAGGAACACCCTTTAGAGGCAATTCGTGGGGTTACTGAAATATAAAATTTCTAACAGTAATAAATGGGTTCTACCACCGACATAGAATTTATTATATATTATATTATGTATTATATATTTAAATACTCTGCACAAGATACAACCACTCACTACTGCATGACTTTATATACAGTTATTGTTTATTTTGTTCATAAAACATAAATCGGTGCCAGATTTAAAGGACACTTGTGAACTTTAGTTCTTCCCTTAGCTATGTTTTGGGCATTAATTTCCTTAACGTTGTTAGCGCATGATATTCCACCTTAAAGGAAGGCCGTAGCAAGGTTTTAACTTCGTCTCATATCAGGACCTAAGCCATACGTAATCCTGGATTTAACCGCAATCCTGGTGTATTGTATTCAGTAATTTTGGAGCGAGTACGATCTAAGATTAACCTTACTCGAGCGGAATAGAACTGTTTTTGGCTTGATACCAATCATTGTGCCCCGAGTCATCAACGGTGGTATAGTAAAGCGCTCAGAGATGAGATCCTTCGAGGATTGTGGAATGCCGATGCAGAACTCGGTATATGAGCGATGTAACATTATCTTGATGTAAATCGTTCTGTGATAATAGTAAAACACAAACTTTTTGTTATTGTCTCATTGTGTGATGATAATTTTACAAGCGAAGATTTCATGGCTGATCCTTATAAGTAGAAAAGACGTAAATAAATTGCTGGTTTAAACCTTATAAAACGGGATAAAATGATCTCCTTGCTACTAATATTAATAAAGACTAATTCAGAGTTCTTCTTTGCTTTATTCGTCACTATAAATTTACTATTCTGCCTAGAAACTATAATTTAAGAGTCATGATGTAAAATGATAATAGTTTCAGCTTTACTTGCTTAAGTACAGTTTGATTTGCTTAAATAATGACTAACCATCCAATAACATGTTGATTCTACCTGCTAATTATTGCTGACGTGACAATTGCTTTTCTCCACATTGGATCTCCTGTAGATTGTAGTTGCTACTGGGTATCTAATAAACGAGCCATTACCTGCAATAAAAAGGATTTACGACTAGAAGGACTTACACGTAAGAACGCAATCGATTGTATCGATCGGATTGGCTCAATATCGTGCCTCAGTGGCGTCCGTAAGAACGGGCCCCGGTCCATATTTGGGACCAACTAATGAGCCTAATGGCTACCGGAGGACTCCTCGCTCCCACGGATGGCGGAGTTTTTACGCGGGAAACTCCATTTCGGCCGCTGGTCGTTCCCGGCTATAAATAGGCCGGTTCGTTGTTTACGAGGCGTTTGCCGCGCGGAATTGTCTGCAACGTTGCCCGTTTGATAACTAATTATTTACGAATACACTTTACGAGTATATATATATATCTTTATTGCACATTATTAAAATATCGTTAGGACAATTCTACTTTTAAAACAACATAAGAATTTTTTTGTTCTTAGGCTACACAATATGACCAAGAACAAAAAATCTTATGTTGATGATCCCTCTCGTCTATAGAAATTTCTCTATAGCGTATCAGTTATTCATTACTACATTAACATATAGTGGACAAACTGAAACATTGGATGTTGTAAGAAATTTCTTCGTAGAATGCTGACATAACGAAAATGTCGGGCAAAGCTAAGGCTTAGTTATAGATCCGGTGGTTTTAGAAGATGACGTTTTACATATTGACAACAAAACATAAAATTACGTTTCTTTGTATCTCTTCCTTGTAGGGCGCCCGAACTATTTGTAAAAACTTTAGGGAGGAAGGAAGGAGTTGTGGCTAACATTAGATAGTATTTAGAGCAGACAGAACATGCGGACAGAAAAATCTCGTTTAATTAAATATATTCGCGCACCTTCAGTTCGAATCCCGCTGCCGGCACAAATGAAATTAATTTGATTGCTTGCTCGGCCGTGAAGTAAAACTTTGTTAGAAAACAATATGGTTAGGAAACAGTTAGTCCTGCTACTGGACAAACCAGCCGCCACCAACACCAGACCTCACCGCTTCGACAGGCTTTAAACATCCTCGTAACATTCTTTAATCATCATTTTGAAAATATGCAAGTTTGTCAACGATGATTTCCTTCATCGGTGAGCACGTGACAAATCAGCACTTAAAATGACAGTTAACAATTACTTAGATGCCGAAAACGGGATTTCAATTCACGTTGTTGGAGTGATACAAAATTAAATGGAGTGCCTGGCCACTGTGAATACTGTGATATCATGGCTATGCGGTGGTTTCTTGTTGCGGATTATTGCCAAATATCCTCTGTATTATTTAAGAGGAGGTCTTTGCCCAGTAGCACCTGTAAAGTTGGTTAGTAGTTTGCTTAAGTATAACGTATAGGGTCGCAGTGAGATATAAATAGATGACTAAACAGTACAACAATGACAATTCTTTCTCATCTAAGACCTCGGTTTTAATTAAGTAAGAAAAAATATTTTACAAAGGTAAATATGAACAAAACTTATAAATGTAACTTATAGGGAGATGCCAAGAATACTGTCATATGTATTATGTTTGTGCCCATTCCAGTTTGGAATAATCACTTCTCCGAAACTTGCAGAATGCAGCCAGAAGTATTTAGTTGTTATCAAAATTTTTAATATCTTTATCAACAGATGTTGCCATAAAATGTCTTAATTATCCCCGTGTCGTCATTTTATTAGGTACTAAAATTTTATAATTTAATCAAAACTGTTTAAACATCTGGCAATATTCACGTATTCATTTATATATTATTTATTAAATTTTTTGCTGCGATGTAAATAATTATCGAATTTTTGAAACAAATGATTAACATACAAATTTTGTTCTTCTAGTAGTTCTGTGACTATTACAGCCAATGTTCAAGAAAGCAACTCGCGCATACTTCTACAGTTTACTACATATATAGCATACAGCGGGGTCTCAGATATAAACTTTTCGCGAGCTAAGCATACCTTATGTGCTTTAACGGATATTTATATTAAATAGTTCGAACAATTAAAGCCTGCCCTTCTATATTTTCTAAAAAAGAGTGTGATATTTATTAGTGTGCATGTTAAGTAAAAATTATTATTCTATTTTAGTGTCTATGCACTCAAGATGAAACCTTAAATTGTCAATTTTTGTAGATATTATGAACAAGACATTTCGGCGCTGCGGGATTCGAACCTGAGTCTTCTGGTTTCGCGCCAAGACACTTTACCAACTATGCTAAGCGGTCGAACTTTCTACGTTCTTTCTATTGCATTTCTTAGCAATGCTTGCCGCTATCTAATGTACATACTTTACAAAGATGATACATTCAACGATGAACATTTGTAACGCGAGATGTCGCGAGGCGTCTATTATGGCAACGCCCACAGGTGGCACCCAATTCCTGCCTCATCATTACAACTCCAACGGCTTAAGTGTAACATTCAAAATTAGCAAGTCAAACTATATAGGTACCTGTATTTTATTACTACATCCACTTCTCTACAAAATTTGGTCGTTCGAATCGGATATGAACCAGGATTATAAAGAGCGTTGTTTATCCAGCGTGTTGTTTTTAAATCTTTTGTTTTATACGTCCTTGTTATTGTGGTAAGGAAAGTAGCTACTGTTTGCTTTCAACGCGGACCGAACTAAAGATGGATTGGCCGCCGGCGCCTTGTTCAAACAACAACGCATTGTAAAACCTCGTCGAGCTTTGAAACGTGGTCGTTATAGACTCCCGCATAAAAAGCATGATTGTCTATAAAAAACGACCGTCAAAGCACTTCTGACCTAGAGTAGAGTGCGTCAGTAAAACATAGAACCCTCTAAGTATCCCCCAGTAAACACTTCCTCGAGTTTAAAATAAGTGACTGTTTACATTGGCGGCACCGCTTCCTCCATTTGAGTGTTTGAGGTGTTTCTATACTGTTTCGTGATTTTGTTTACACGTATCCTGCCTTCCTTAGTTCTATCTGGTTAAAGCCACACTTGTTAAAATTTTGCTCCTTAAAAGAAATGATATTCACCAGCTCTTTTAAGGATTTCATTCTTCGGTATTATGTCGGTTAAGGCGATATAAGAAGATAATTATAGTGTTTTTGCCATTTTTATTTTTTTTTAAAATACACCTATATGACAACATATCTTTATAGCACTCAATGAAATGAAGTTTTTATATCAAAACCTAATTTATTTTTAAATGTTCCTTAAAATAACTATGAAGTGTAAGGATCATTGGTAATCAAACACAGATACAAATATTAGCTGGATAATCCATAGTGTTGTTGTCATAAATGTTTTATGTCTTATAAATAAACATTTTTAAATTATATACGCACATCAAATGTTCAATGTAATCCACATTGAACATTTGGGACTTTTTGAATCTTAATTTATGGATCGTTATAAATTTTAAAAGAAATAAATCACGTGTGTGTGTTGCATTGGAATGTGAAGAAATAAATAATTATACCCAGATGACTTTTGCTTCAAAACTCATCTTTTAACACACTGGCCATACTAGTATAATCACATCACCCACAGAAGGGTTTAAGTGAAATGGCTATCAACACTAGTTTCTGTACTGTTTACTAAAAAGGTTCTTTAATGTTGCCCGAGTTGTCAACACGTATTGCTTCAGCTCAAAGGGGCACGACTAATTGGGGCGCTACTACAGCAGTTGGTGCATTCACCGAACGATCGCTGATGATAGATGCAGTAAAGAATAAGAAGGCCTCATTAAAATCTAAACCGTGTGTCTGAACAACGGAACTAAGAAGAAAATATGCGGTTTCTTGCAACATGCAAAGAAAGCTTAGAAAGGTTGATCGTTGTTGGAAACACTTAAGGCAAAAAATCACGTGGCCGATCTCCAGCACGATGGAATGACCAGCTCAAAGACACAGAACCGTCTCGGAATTTCTGCGATGTGGTGAGGATCGTGATGGACTGGAATCGATGGAGAGATCTCACTCGTGCTCGAACGACGACCCTCAACCACGACATGTTGGACACGACCATAAAGAAATATGGTCAATGGTTATTCATCTACGTGAGATTGATTTTCATGAGAATATTTTACGAGAATTCTTCGCCTTTTTTGAATCGCGGATAGAAAAGACCGATAGCTTCATTTAACCACATCCCTATTGGTTTGAGCGAAGACAGTTCTTCAATTAAACTAATAGGAATGTTTTATCACGATGCTACCGATTTCAGCGGTCGGACACGACTGTAGCATGGTTGCCAATAAGTGGTGGAGGCTGCGTGTGGTCCGAGCCTTGACCGCAAACCGGCATGCATCACGCGAAACTGAGCTGTCTTACTGATCCTCCATCTAGGGGTGTGCATCTCATTATTTACTCGACGCAGGCATGGACAGAACCCTGGAGATTTTGTGACGGAATTAAACACCTTTCATATTGTGAGCTGATGAATAAAGCTCACATATAATAATATATATCAACTAAAATCACTATAAAAATGAAATCAATAACAACTGATGAAAATTATAAGTTTTACGTTAAAATTGGTCTTGACGATGATCAACTTAAGGCACGTCATGTATTGTGTAACTTTACCTTATGCTATAGAAGGCATTTCATTGCAGAAGTTTGCGGATTTGACAATTTCGTTCTGATCATTCCCAGTTGTTGATCCTGAAACTGTTACTATCGCAATACAAGTAATTGCTGGACTTTTTGAGTTGAAATAAAAAAACCCTTCTCGTGTTTTGGTATTTTTTTACCATTATGTGGCGTCGGCTGCGTGTGGTCCGAGCCCTGACCGCAAACTGTCTCCCGTCACGCGAAACTCGACGCGCCAGCTGGTCTTTGACCTTTGCTCTACGCGGGAACGCTCTATTGTTATCGAAGTTGCTTCACATTTTGTGTTTTGCGTTTTGGATGCGTGCTTTGCGCTTGTAAAGTTACGCGACTGCTTCGAAGAATGAAAGGTTCTTTAAATTGCGATAAAACACACCTGCTTTTAGAGAACTGAATATAATAAAGAGACGATGACGTAGAATGTAACGTAGAAAAATATTGTAAAATAAATTAAGTATAAAATAAATAAATAAAAAAATTCTCAAGTTATTTATGCTAAATTTTGGCATAAGTAACTTGATATATTCGTTGTATTTTTCCATTTTAATCAAATAAAAATAAAACGTTGACGATGCTATAAAAATCGTGGGTCTCCACTGCGATTGCAGGCTGCCATAGTTACGCGATCTCTTGAGAGGTATAACAAAACGGTCCGTCGAGTGAGCAGAAAATCATCCCAATCCTCTGATAGTAAACGCAGCAAAACAACCGAAACATTGTTAAATTTTATGAATATAGGTATCACCATAACTAAAGATATAAAATAAGTTATGTGAATCCTCATACAACCCGCTTCTTATAAATGCATTTGTGCGGGATAACTTAGTTTAATAGTGTTTGTATAAGTAATTTACTACTTAATTCATGTAACGTAAGTCGAAATAATTGCTTAAAACTTTGCTAGCATGAAAGGAGCGGCGGGCGGTTCATCCCGCCCGCCGCTCCTTTCATGGGCGGAGCATGGGAGCGCCTCATACGCTCCGTAAAGAACGCGCACACCGCCACGCTCCACGAACGACACCCGAATGAAGAGGTACTCTCAACGCTGTTGGCAGAAGTGGAATATACGGTGAACAGTCGCCCGCTGATTCACGTGTCAGTCACCGCCGAAGATCCGGAGGCCCTCACCCCCAACCACTTCCTGCTGGGGGGTAACGGAAGGGTGCCGCAGCCGGGGACCTTCAACGAAAACGACGAAATATCAAGAGCCAGCTGGAGAGCAGCGCAACGTCTCGCCGATGTCTTCTGGTCGCGTTGGGTACGCGAATACCTGCCTGAGTTACAACACCGGCGGGAGCCGCATGGACGTGGTTTAAGTGTTCAAAGTGGTGACTTAGTGCAAATCGTGGACGCTAATTTACCGCGAAATGTGTGGCCCCGTGGCAAAGTCGTCGCTACGTATCCCGGTCCTGACAATATCGTGCGCACGGTCGACGTGCAGACGAGAGGTGGAGTACTACGGCGGCCAGTCAGGAAGCTGGTCATACTACCACGTGCTGAAGATTCATCAACGGAGGATGCTGGACGAGCTACGAGCGACGCTTCGACCTGAGCTGCCCACGAGCAGCAAACTCGCACCGGTAGTTATGCAACTCAGTTGCACGGCGGGAGAATGTGCGGGATAACTTAGTTTAAAAGTGTTTGTATAAGTAATTTACTACTTAATTCGTGTAACGTAAGTCGAAATAATTGCTTAAAACTTTGCTTAAAACTTGCTTAAAACTTGCTTATTTTAGATTGCCTATAAAAATGTCTGTATAATGAAATACTATAAGATTTTAATCGTATAACTGGTTTTATATGACTATTAACACATATGTTGTAAAATTAGTGCGATAAAATAATTACAGAAAAAGTGTATTTTCATAGTGTCATCGTAATTGATAAAACATTAAATTTAATTATTTGTAATCTAGTCATAAGACCTCGATTCTTTAAGGTAACGCACCAAGAGGGTGCCAAAGAAAAAATGTAAGCTCTCTGATTGGATACCAATACGACAACCAATCAGAGAGCAGGAATTAATTCCCACAGGATCGCATAAATATAGCGGCGTTTCGGGGCATCATCGCAGGAGAAAGAAGGGCTTCGACAGAGTGTGGCACGAAGGCCTGCTACATAAGCTGCTGGAAAATACCACCACCCTATCAAGATCTACCAGTGGAACAAGCAACTAGAAGAAGTCAGCAAGAAAGAAGCCCTGCAGCCTGGAAGAGGAGGAGCCTGCAGCCATTAGAAGAATGTTTTATTGCATAAGAAAAAACTTGTACAAACGTCTGAAAATAAACAGTGTTCTTTCTGTCTTCACGACATTCTTGTTTCTTTACCAATCCAGCACACTGAAACGTGCATTGCGCACAGCATTTGTGTCTACTTATAAATGCATCGAATCACGTCGTATATAAAGCTGAATGTATTTAATTGCTTTACCACTCACTGACAACAATAAGGACTGACTAAGGAATAATGACTATTGCATCTCTTGACCGTGTCAACAGCCAGACATTTATTATAATACCGCCGCGAAGGAACTCCGCACTTGTGGAATACACAATATCCGTCAAGATGTCATAATTGCAAACCTTCCAACGAATCTATCCATCTTATTTATTCAATGGAATCTCTTGAGGAATATAATAGGGCATCGACGCCCCACGAGCCAGACGCTCCGCACGCACGGCCGTACAAAAGCAATGATTCATTTAGCACTTCATGCGGTATATCGCTTTACTTAGCGCTGCCCACGCGGGCTGGCAACTTGAGTGTGACGAAAAAACAAGTGCACTATGCTGTACAGTAAAAAATTGGACGGGGAAAAGATTGGACTGCAGCGCAGGACGCTTGGTAGAAGTGGTAATACCTTTAAACAAAGAACAACAGAGATTTATTCTATCACACATAACGAAATATACTTCAATGTGTAAAGTAAATAAGGAGTAAATTAACAGCTTATACACTTCCCACTGCTGAGCAATGGGCTTCTTTATGCAGAGAGTATTAGGCCATAGTCCACAGCACAAATCCCACTGCGGATTGGGGGACTTCACATAACTTCGAAATATATATTCGATATAATTTCGAAAATATGCAGGTTTGTTCATGATGTTATTCTTTATCGCTTAGCAAATGATAAGACATCGCCTAAAATTAGCAATTTCGGCACCGGGATTTGTAGGTACTAGGGTTGCTCGAGTATTTTGATTTAAAGGCAGAGCCAGACACTGAACCATCATGGCCTTAACCTGAAGTCTGTAAAACTCACTCTCAATTCTCGTCAATCTATTGAATCGCCGGCTTAGATGCTTCACTTAAAAAAATGTGAAATATAGTGAACTTTATTGACTGAGACCTATAAATTTCATAATTTCTTGTTTTACATTGGTTAAGACGAGAGAAGACGACGGGAAAAGATATTTTCTTTTGTTTTCATAAAACAGTTAAAAAATTAAATATGAAATGAAATTAAAGAGCAACAACGTCATTTACCAAGTTTCTATAAGAAACCGCGAAACACTGGAAATAAATTGTTAAACCTAATAAATCGAAGCAAAAATCCCTATCAAAGCTTCAGTCTTTTGACTCATATCTCGAAGTCATGGCTGTTCCGCCTGTATAAACATAACGTTAGTGTTAGATGGAAAACTTACTTGAACACCATTCCCATTCGCCGGATCAGTGCTGTTATGTCAGTTTAAATTCCACTCGCTGACAAGCAAGTCGCGAATGCTCGCGCATTTGCATCCACCGCTCGTTTGGGACCGGTGTGTCTTCTTCGTTTAGGAAGACACACATCGCAGTGCGCTCGAAACGAGTTGCGTCTATTTGCAGGGTATTCGATTACGGAAGTTTGTGGCATCAGTCGGAATATAAATTTTCGTCTTAATTTCTTATGTTAGAAGGCGGTTCACCCGATGTTATGTGGTAACCACCGCCCATGGACGTTTGCAACGCCCGTAGGGTTGTAGATGCGTTGCCACCTTTAAATAAAGTGGGTCCTGGCTACCTCACTCACTAGACGAAACGCAGAAGTGTCCACTCACGCCGATTTTCTGTAAGGTCGTGGTACTTACCCGGACTGACCTGCCCATTCGTGCAACAGCGAAGACTGTTGTGTGACCCACCACAGTTGACATGGAGACAAAGCTGAATTAAGATCTAGGAGAGCAGAACTATTCATTCTCTCATTTTCTATCTGAGCTGTAAACAATTAATATGCAAATAATTTATTTTCAGAACAGATTGAAACTCGTTCGAACAGATTCGTCTACATTTACCGCTGGGCGCAGCTCTGCGGCCGTAATACCTAGCGGAACAGACAATAAAGTTCGCGGTTTACAGCCTCCTATCTTGTTTGTTTGAGTGCAATAGGAAATAGTTACGTGTGCAGTAAATATTGGCTAAATTTTGTATTTATGAGGCTAGAGATGGACATTGGTTTTCTCATGCTGGAGACACGGAGTATTTCTCTGAAAACTAGAACCTAACTCGTTTGAAACACTTACTCTCATGTTTAAAAATAGGTAGAAACTGAAGCCATTCACGTCACACCGAACCTAATAGTCCCAAAAGTTGTTTGACTGCTTTTTCCATATTATGTTTACAAATAAATAAAAAAAACGATTTTTTGTTGCAATATAGCGGCTTTAACTTAGCCGCTCTTGTTCCTCGTAAATGTGATCACAGAATGCTTGAAAACTAAAACAGTTTATACTATTCAGAAATCACAAAGCGTTCATCAAAATCCAACGTAGTTATTTAATTAGTTTAGATAAGAGATTGGTTCGGAACAGTTGAATTCTTCAACTCTGACCTATCCCAGATAATTGCGTGCGGGAATTGTATAAGAATACGTAGTATATTATACTATGTATTATGTAAAATAACTAACATTTCTTCATTCTCTGCTCAACAAAGCTTAGGGTATCTGACGCGTGTGTAACGCTTTTGGTCAATTAGATGAAGTATATATTATGAGCGATTTCATACGCACGAAAGAACGCTAACTTTGTGTTGCAATCTGGTCCATAAAGATCAGGTAAATTGATTGATGGACTTCTGGGTTAGAAATATTAGAGTATTTGATATAGCTTCTCATACTTCTAAATATTTAATCGTTAATGAAATGCGAAACAGGCACATACATATTTCAAAAAAGAAATGTATTTGTGTACATTACTGTGGCCACGTAAAAAGTTATACTTCTTAAGCGACTAAACAAAATAAAAGCAACTAAACATTTCATTCTTTGTTTGGGAAAAAGACATTAAATGCAATTGATAATGGTTTTATTAATTATCATGGTACATCTAAGTAAATTCGAAAAAGTTAATGGTCACATCGTAAAAGTTTTACTCTCGTATTTTTTCCAAACGCGCCAAAAGATGTATATCTTCAATAAAGGTGTTTTCATTCACACAACGAAGAATTATTCGGAAAATCCCATAGGAATCGTAAACAGGTGCATCCCTATTAGCATGTTACCATTCACGTCAGTGTAAGTTACTACTGCTATGTCCAAAATACTTCCGCGCCGACCGAAGTTCCCAGGCCCGCGCACTGGGCTCCAGTAAATAATGTCTTCACGTCGAGGGCGCTGGTGTAAGTGATGCCAGATGGCCGCTGAGGCCGATAGCGGTCGATTCCAACGCCGGGATAATTTATGAATATGAGCGTTTGCGCCGAGTGCGTTAAACGGACAGTTAACGTTTCAACTCGTAGAAGGCGGGCTTGAACTTTGATGCGTATAGGAAGTGTATGCTCGGAGATGTTGTGGGAAATTGCCAAATACGATGATGAATAGTTTCCGAAAGTCTACACGTGATACGGGCTTTTTGTTATCTTGTTAACGCGCGACTATACGCGCTAAAACCTTTATCTAATACAGTCTTGTTGTAAATATAATGACTGAGGTTCAATCAGTATTATGTCTAACAAAGAGTAGCGAAAAGATTTATACGGAGATCTACGTTTTTCTTGTCGGTACTTGTACGTCATCAGTCTTACATTGAGAAAACTTGGGAAATGCAAAAGGCCTCGGTAAAGCGGTGACTATGTGATATTAAAGAAAAACTTGGAAATTTTAATGGCTTTTGATCTTTGCACCTCAGCGCGTGCCCGACAAGACGACACGACCAACATTAGCATACTATCGGCCGAACGCTGTGTTTCCCCAGCTCCACCCATAGCCGATTCTGGTCGGATACCGACATTCCCGTCGCCGATTGCGGTCTTAGGTGAAGTTGCCGATGTTTATGAGCGTAATAAATTAAGCTCGATGCGTCCGAACGCACCGTAACTGCTGACAAAAGACCAACGATCAAAGAACGGGAATAAATCATTATTTCGTAACGCTTCGGTTTATGACTTGGTGGCACCGCTACACTGGAAACGTTAAATTATTTGGGAAACTCTCAAAGGGGCTAATATTATTGTCTGTTGAAATGAAGTCAGACATTTCAGTGACTGGCGTTCTTGAAGACTGAATCTCACTTTATTGTCATTTTCTTTTACTAAATAAAATTCTATTACCTGTATGTAAAACAGCAGTGAATGTAGCTGTATTGTTTCGACCTTGAAGGTAGCATAGGTGCAGAAGTATTTTTTAAGTAGACATTTCAATTGCTGGCAACTATTTTTAGATAAGGTTTTGAAATATTATGATATACCGTTGATACTGCTAACGCGTTCAGAGTTTATAGTTAAATATATTGCTCAATATTTAAAATTACCTGTTAAATACAAGTTAAGGAAAGTGTCAAGTTCAAAACATTCATATTTCAAGACAACGAATACGATGCGATGACTCTTCTCAATTATCGAGTTGGCACGACCACTTGGGAATGCAGTTAAGTTTATGTTAAGAGGTGTCAATGTCTTAATAACATACCGAGGTAGAGGGTTCGAGTAATTAAATGGATACCTTCGTAGTTAACACTGAATGTTTATTGGGTGGGCTTCCACGAAATGATGTTTGGTACCTGTGACTGATATGATGACATTTGCCAGACATTTTTCATTGACTCGTTGAGGACATAATGAGATCTTTTTCACAGACTCATTCGTTCTTGATTTGCCAATAAATCTTTGCTTCTAACATATAGATGATTTTTGTCGAGGTTTGGTTGCATAAATATTACATGCTACTGACAACCTTGTTCTGATGATCCGGTTGGCGTAGTGGTTTGTGAACATGCCTCTTGCACCAGGGGGTGAGCGTTCGCTCCCTAGTAGGGAAAATATCGTGTGATGAACATAGTATTTTCCAGTGTCTGGGTTGGAGGTTTAGGTCAAATATGTTTATCAGTTATTTTGAACCCATAGTACAAGCGCTGCTTAGTTTGGGACTAGATAACGCTGTTTAAAAATGTGTCTAAAAATATTTATTTCTTTATTTGTTTATAATATATAAATGATTATAGGAAAAAATAAACATATATAATGATTGTAGGATGTCTGACTGATCACAAAAAGTCTTTGGTGCTCTACATTTCTAACCTTTCTAACGACCTTTACGTTCGTCATCCCTGCCACTAATCTATCACTGCTGAATTCGAAACAAGGACAAGGTGAAGAAAGTGTGTGGATTAATCGAATTTGCGTCAACAGGTCGCGCGGTGCTGGACCGCCTCAGGAGTACGACATTAAGCGTGGTGTCGGTGACAAGCGGAGCGGACGGCGAGTACCCCGCTCCGCTCGACGTCGCCCCGCTGTCGCTGGTGGCCGCCAACGCCACGTGTGCTGACAGCGGCGCCGAGGAGTTCTGCCGCGACACGCCTGGCAAGTAAGTGCAATGGAAAAGTTAAGCGCGACTACCGTGAAGTGGTTGCAAGCTAGCAGACCATTCACCTAATGATAAACGGGGCCATAAAGGTTGGCAACAATATTTTTAAGGGTGGGCCTTACCTCACTTACCAGAACTGTCGTCGACTTTCGCTGTCAGGGACAGTGAATATTTGATTGACCATACCAATGAATGATTAGAATCACAATTCGCACAACAAAGTATTAGTGTTTATTGATTTCAGGAGTAAATAAATATTAAACGTAATTTTAATCTAACCAGATAATCTAGCAAAGTATAATTAGGTTCCATATGTGTAGCATGTAGGTATACATGTTCATGTACTGTGGTAGGGCTAAGCAGTAGCTTTTGATGTTGCACGAGTGGGCCGGCGAATCCTGGGAGTTATTACCACGGCCTCATATTTCGTCAGTGTGAGGTAACGGGAGCTCACTTTTATGGTGTTTTATGTCGTTGTAGATGTCCATTGGCGACGGTATTCACTCAACATCAGGTGAACCGCCTGATCACTAGACAACTTTTTTTTTATTAAACTTTTACACAAAAAATTAACATTGTGTATTGGCGGACTTAATGCCTAAGGCATTCTCTACTTAATGACTATGGGCGACGCAGAGACAAAAAGAGGCAGTTGTAAAAAGTTTCAAATTAAACTTTAGGTTAAAATAAAAGTAAACTTTTCACATTAAAAAATAAATTGGAACTTGTATATGTAGGTATACAAGTTCCACGTGCTTAAATACGAGTTGAGAATAACTGAAAAATTATATTCTGCGTGTTAACAGGCGGGGTGTGGTATGCGACGTTTGCGAAGGGGTCGACGGATCGCCGTCCAGGCGCCACCCAGCAGCGCTGGCGGTGGACGGTGACCCAGCCACTTGGTGGCAGAGCCCTACGCAAGCCAACGGCGAGGAGTTCGCCCACGTCGAGCTGGTGGCAGCGCTGCCCGCTGTAAGTAATTCTCTTCGATCATTTTCTCTACTCCTCGAGTTGTATGGGTCAAAATACCGAAAATCGCCGCGACAATAAGACCGCCCTTTGTCTTTTTAGGAAAACGATGACACTCAAGTTTCCTCGGCATTTACACTTTGCACTGTCTTCTCAAAATTCTTTTATAAGATTCATTTCTATGGAGAGTATAAGCATCTTTATTCGTGGAATAACGTCACCGGTATAGTAAGGAGTAAGGAGTAGTTTTCCAAACACTTTTGTCAAGAATACCATGTGCCAATTTTCATGACGTTTTCACTGAACTCGAACGAGAACGGTCAAAAGTGATCTTGTGTGACTTTTTCTAATTGTCTCGAATAAAAATATGAATTAAAGAGTAAAAATGATAAAGCAACAGCCTATAAATATCCCACACCTGACCGTATTGAATCCCTATCGACGGTTTAAGGTAGCGCTAGGCAGCCGACACATATTCTTTTTATTATTATTTCATATATTTTCTTCGCACAATATGACTGGAATAGAACTTTTGTATCGTGTCCGTAGTCATATAAGTAGAGTTTCACTTCTGCTGTCAAAGTAAAGTAAAGTATCAGCCTATACATGTCCCAATGCTGGGCAAAGACCTTCTCTGTGCAGAGGGTATCAGGGCAGAGGCCACCACGTGGCCTCACTGCGGATTGGCAGACTTCACATATCTTCAAAATATTTTTTTTGTTATTATTTCGAAAATATGCAGGTTTCCTCACGATATTTTCCTTCACCGCTGAGCACACGATAAGTCAGCACTTAGAGTTAGTTATTTCAGATTGCTAGAGTATATTATAATAAAGGCCTGTCATCACATCTATACTAAGTTACTAGTTACCAATTTAGGCTGGTTTATTCACTGCCACCTTATTTTCTTGTCGCAAGAGGCATAGAAGGTCCCTTTTAAAGGAGTAGACTCGCCTATCCTCCCCATCTGACCTTGCGTTAAGGTCACTGACAGGTGTTAAATATCGCGGAATACATAATTTCCTAAAGCTTTTATAATATCTTTAGATTCCTTCGTTACTCATACTTGTAAGTGACGCTGAATAATTTACATTTAGTCTTATCCCACAAATGTAAAAGCGTTAATAAATAATTAATAAGTGATATAAGGCGATGAACTTAAATCAATTTAATTAGATACAGCATAAGTTTTGACAATTGTCAATTTTAAGTGCTGAATTATCACGTTCTCAGCGGTGAAGGAAAACACCGTGAGGATAATTGCATATTTTCAAAATAATAACAAAAAAAATATTATGAAGATATGTGAAGTCCGCCAATCCGCAGTAGGGCCGCGTGGTGGACTATGCCCTGATAACCTCTGTACAGAGGAGGCCTTTGCCCAGCAGTGGGACATGTATAGGCTGTTACTTTACTTTACTTTTACAGCAGAAGTGAAACTCTACGTATATGACTACGGACACGATACAAAGTTCTATTCCAGTCATTTTGTGCGAAGAAAATGTATGAAATAATAATAAAAAGAATATGTGTCGGCTGCCTAGCGCTACCTTAAACCGTCGAAAAGCGACATTTATCGAAAAATAAGCTCAGCCTTGTCTGGAGCCAGACACACACCGAAAGACAGAATATTTATAGCTTTCGTTACTCCGTCGCCGAACAATATTCATGAGATAGGAAGTTCTGTTAAAATTTCTCACAAGTAAATCTATTTATATTTACGTGCTGTTCGTTGATTAACTCGTAGGACGAATGATAAATTAGTCTTGGATTTTAATATCTTATGATAGTGTAAATTTCTTCATGACATTTTTTTATCTCTAGTTACAAGATCAAACGAAAAGTTCAGAAGTGTTAATTTTTTTCATTGAAATATTGCTAAGATATTTTTCTAAAAATAATAATAATATAAGCTTAATAATAATATTACCATTTATGAAAATTATTTTAAGACATTAATGCGTAAACTTGTTTAAACTTCTCCATGTATATTAGAACCATTAAAACTTAGAACACCATGTAGCCAAATTACTCATTCATAAAAATAATTCAAATATTGAATATAGTGCCATCTAGTAGTGAATAGGATATGTATGTTACATTCCTTTTCTCGACACAAAGTATAGACTGGTATTTTATTTGTTAGAAATTTAATTTGTTTAGGGAACGAACCACCAAAAGTATTAAATTATGTAAAAATTAATGTATCGTTATCGGGTTTGCGATACACAGTAAGGTCAGACGTAAGCACGCAAGTCCGTACGTATTATTATTTACTGGTTAAATTTTTTTTGATCATCTTACATTGTTTGATAGCCGATTTGGACGCAATTTGCACTTGCGATATTTTATCGTGGATACGAAACATCGCAAAGTTAGCTGTTGTGACGAAAGTGTGTGAATCATCGGTAAATATTTGTGTGGGAATTACCATATTATAACTATGCATAAACAATTCAATTGATAAAACTTGTTGCCAATAGTTTGAGGTTCACGATCAGACAACGCAGCTTAGAATCTAAAGAGGTTGTGGTTAACCATCTGAGAGCTTAGAAGATAGCATAATATGACCCTTATGACACAATAATATCAAACCAATTTAAATCTACAAGATGACTAATATGATGAGCCATCATCGACACCTCGCCCTCTACAGGAATCTCCACGTAATTCAGCACGTATCTTATCTCACTTGAGCACTAATGACTTGCGCCAAACTACCTGCTCCTTTCGCGTGATGAATGATCCTGCAGAGGTCACGTTTGTGCCGGCGCCTCCTCGGTCTAGCGAAGGGTCCGGCAATAAGTCGCCGCGTCCGCAGGCGGCTATTAGGCCCCGATAGCGCGGGCCAAACGGTATTGGCTCCGTTTATCTCGGCCATAAATCGGACGCTCCATGCGCCTGCGCAACCGTCGTTCACCACGCTTCTGTCTGTTGCGAGACAGTCCCGTAGGTGATGTAACTCCGTGACGCAGCTGCCAAGCTATTGGCTTCGGCGTAATCGGCGTGGGTTCGATTCCCACACGAGACAACTGTGTGTGTGACCCACAGATAGATGAAATTTATGTTTGTAAAACGTCTTTACAACACACGACAATGTTATCCTAAGGTATGGGCAAATGTTTCTTCTAAAATAATAAAATAAAAAAACAACAATTAACTTCCCTTGTAGCACATTTAGTTTACTGTATGTATTTAGTTAAAAGTATTTCGTATCACAGGTGCGCTTCAAATTGGGCAACTGATCGGGAACATTAAAGCATTTGCACAGGGCGTTTCTTGAATAGCGCGAACAAACACGAAGAAAAGTTGAAATAACGGTGAAGAAAGAACGGTGATAGGGCCACGCAGCAGCCTCGGCTGTTGCACGAACGGGCAGGCCCGTCCGGGTAAGTACCACGACCTCACAGAAGACCAGCGTAAAGTGGAAGTATTTAATACATTCGCGTTTCGTCTGGTGAGTGAGGTAGCCGGAGCCCAATTTTCAAAAGGTTGTCGACGCATCTGTAACCCTCGGGTGTAGCAGATGTCCATGAGCGGCGGTATTCACTTAACATCAGGTGACCCGTGTGCTCGTTTGGCAACTTTTCGCATAAAAAAAAAGATTACGGATCAAATCAGAAAATACTTAGCATGTGCGTAAAAACGGCGAAAAACTGATTGGTATTGTTCTGAGAGGACAAGGTAAATATTTCACGTGATCACCAGGCGTGCATGGATGTAACAGAAGCGAAAAGCGTGTACAGGTTATAGGGTGTGTTGTATTTGTATGGCATTATATTAGGGCCTAATGGGAGAAGGTGGTAAACGGGCAAGCATACCGGCTGATGCTAAGGATCAACGCTATCCAGAAACATGCACAATAAGGCTATAAGGTTTCAATCTTTATTATGTAGGCCTTTTTTGTGTGTAGGCATTAACTAAACGAAGTATAAATACTTTTACTTAGTCTAGTACTTTTCGTCATTTACAACAGCAGAAGGTGGTGCGTGCCTTGGCACACTAGTTATATCTTCGATGTAACATTTATTGTAGCATTTTTTTGTCCTTATGATGTATTATAATGTTATTGCATAAATATATTATTTCATAACCTTAAATTTATGTTTGTTAACATTCCTTAAAATGTCTTACGTAGCGCAATTCTTCTTAACATTGTATTTTACATCGCGTATAAACGTTAGACAGTGATTCTGTCTGTTACGAAACTGAAAATGCATTGTTGTCGCCACTAATTTGCCTAAGGGTTCTTTTTTTATAATTTTATAAGGTACACTTATTTTGGAAAAATTCTAATCCATGCCTTCAGTGGAAAACTACTGATCTGCTGCATCGCCTAGACTACCACTAGTTCACAACGCATTATTGTAAGCGATATAAGCGGCCTAACAAGCTATTTTAAACAATTAAGAACGCATTTGTCTGTATTACAACCCCCATTAGAAAAACTACCGGAGTGTGGTCACTATTTTTAATTTAATTAAAAAAAAAAAAACACGCGACTTCGTAACATCCCTAAGCGCATAAACATAACAAAATAACAAGGCATGCATTTAAGATAGAGTATTGCAGCGGCCGATATATTTTATTGTTCGGGACACGTCGGTCACAAAACATTTAAAAAAAAAACTTATGAAAGAATGAAAAAGTAGCTCGACCACTTTACTGCTCGCGATATGGTTTGGGGATGGTCGATAAATTAGGGCGCACATACGACCACCCGCCACTGCGAGAATGGGTTGTGGCAGCGAACACATAAATTCCTACTTACCTTTAAACACCGCTTGTCGAGCGTTGTCTGTGGAGAATATGCAAGTCTATTTTGCTCGAAGTGTCTGAAAAGATACACGAGACAAAGTTCAAAAGAGGATGGCAATACTGCGATTATAAAATGAATGAAAATCCAACCTAGATGCCAAATAAATAAACAGAGATATATAATGCAACATAAAGGAAAAAAATAAAATGGAATCCAATCCAGATTTATAATAAACAGAAAAGCACGTGAGAGAAATGTAATTGTTTTACGTCGGTCTAGATAAGATTAGATGTTGCACATGTTTTTCATGAGTTAGTGCGCCGAACTTTTCTCATGTTTTTAAATGTAATTTAAATCTTCTAAATATTATCTACATTAATCTTAGTCTTTTAAATCATTTATCATCAATCTAAATCTTTTAAACATTATTTATAAAACGCAACGTGGTGACACGAGTGCTCCGTACCTTTTCTTTACTACAATTCACTTCACTATTATTAAAACACAAACAGCGAGTCGTCTATAAATAAACAATGGCCTTTCTAAATGAAGTAAAAAAAAACTTTGTCCCTTATAATAGAATTACACGCTTTACTGCAGGCACCGATAAATAATGCACTTAAGTTTTTACAAAACTCCATGAATCCTTAAGCGATGGCGAACAATAGAGACGCCGGTGGGGCTAACAATGGGGCAAATAGCCTCATATCGGCATAACAGTCAGCCGATACCGATCTACGGTTGCATCGTCAGCCGATGCCGTAATGGAGCCGTGGGGTGATCAGAATCGTTCAGCTTAACGAGTTTCTTTACTATAACAGCTACTTACAAATAGTTCCAAGTGATAAATTGCAAGTGATACGGGTGAGGGATTTCTTCTTACTTCTTGATATTCGATTTTATCACAACGCCGCCCTCAGATCGATTGCGGCTGCGGTGTGCAAGACAATGAATGTGGAAGCTTGAAATGTTTGGTATTCGTATACAATGCCAAAAAATTCACGGTGGTAAGGCCACGCAACAAGCTTCGCTGTTGCACGAATGGGCGGATCCGTCCGGGTACCACGACCTCACAGAAGACTGGAGTGAAGTGGAGGTGCAATATGCAGTGAAATACTTCTCTGCTCCGTCTGGTGAGTGAGGCGCCAAGGACCATTTATTATGGCGTGAACACATCTGCAACCTTGGGTGTTGCAAAACCGCCAGCTCGCTTGCCACCTCCTCACATAACTAAAATATGTTATGAGTGGGAAGCATACCTTTTAAGAAATTCCGTTTCAATAAACCTTTTTTTAAACGAGCTGGCGGCTCACCTGATGTTAAATGATAACCGCCGCCCATTGACATTTGCAAACCCGTAAGATTGGGGATGTCATGCCACCCTTTAATAAATTTGGCCTCCTCAACTACCTCACTCGACGAAACGCAGAAGTTATGAAACTGCAAAATTTGTTATGAAAAACATGTTTCAAACGAGACATATGACCATGATATCATTTTCACAAGACCAGATCAAATGTGAAAAACACCGTTCTTGACATAGATGTAGGTACTTTTGCAATTTAAAACGTATTGCGGCGTAAAAGCTTTATAGCCTGTGTATTTTTATGTAATGAATACCTTTTTACATTTAACGCATCACATAAGAAGGCGGGTGCGGGTGTTGAGTTGCGATTTCTTTTGCGATTATCGAGCGTATGCAGTAAATAATCTGGCCGTCGATGGTTGTGATCAGTTAACGTTAAACGATCTGATAATACAAGAGGCTGCATAACGTTGAAATCGACACAAAGGCGTCATGAGTGAAGAAGGGCTCAGAAATATTGCAGACGGAATGACAAGATATATGTTATTTGGGAGAGATATATTTAATTTGGTACAATGCAAAAGACTTGCATTCTACATCTCAATATTACAAGATTAGTTCACGGCTAGTGTGGACGGCTTCATCTAGTGCTCCCATTTAAAAGAATAGTAAAAACTGAACAGTACTACCCCTGTCTAACATTATACTGTTAAAATATTTATCTATAGCTATAGTTATCGCCTTCTAACTATGCATGCGATTTTTGAGCTTTTATAGAACATCTATGTAATGGTAAACTGTTACCCCATTTGTATCATAGTACATGTCGCAAATATAATCAAACAGACGTGTTTTATAGGATAATGCATATGTTGGTGGTGAGTGTACTTCATAGTTTCGCAACGTATTGTGCCATGCGATGCAAATCTTATGTCCTCACTGCTCAATCGGACCTCGACGTTGGCAAATGTCCCATCGATCATCCACCACTTACGCCCCACGGAACAAGCGAGGCGAAAATTCACCCGCCACCGAAAGAGCTGTGAATGTCAAAGAACGAGACTTTAATGGGTACAGTCGCGGACAGAACTCTTTAATCTTAGTATATACTGTGTGCCGTGACAACCGCGACGATAAATGAACAAACATATATAGGATAACTTTTAAAATTGTATTAAGCATTTACATTCTTTAAACATCAATATTTACCGAGTTATTAAATTTTACAAAACAAATATTTTTAGAAAACCCTTACGTATAAAACTGTAACGTAAAGTTCATTTGTAAAGGTCACAAAGCATATGAATGGGTTGAATGAATTTAAAAGAGATAAAACATACTGTTGGAAGGAGAGACTTTTAATGCGTCAATGCATAATGAAAAAGTCTCTGAATGTATGAATCAGTTAGTTGTAGTTGTATAGGCTGTTTCAAATTTTGTTTCTTTTTTATTTAATAGGTTTGTTTGAAAAATTTTAATTATGGATTTTTTTAACATTTTATATATTTTTTTAATGATTATTGGCAAGTAACGTTAACGGTAGACGTGTGTTCATTTATTGCCGCGGTTGTAACGACACGCTGTATAAATTACGTGTCACGTTGTTTGTCCACCATGGACTCCTAAATTACTTGACCGATTTTAATGAAATTTGCACACCGCGTGCAGTTTGATCCTACTTGAAATATATTGAGATAGCTCAATTTATAGTCGCAATATTATTTTATTGCAAATTATTTGTTTATTAAATGACAAAGAGTAAATAAGTATTTGT